ATTTTATTTATTTATTTGAGAGAGAGAATGAGAGAGAGCACATGAGAGGGGGGAGGGTCAGAGGGAGAAGCAGACTCCCCGCCGAGCAGGGAGCCCGATGTGGGACTCGATCCAGGGACTCCAGGATCATGACCTGAGCCGAAGGCAGTCGCTTAACCAACTGAGCCACCCAGGCGCCCTGTGCATTTTATTTTAAAGATTTATTTATTCAAGACAGAGTGAGAGCTAGAGATAGCAGGAGCCGGGGGGAGGGGCAAAGGGAGAAAATCTTCAAGCGGACTCCCCACTGAGGGTGGAGCCCATCACAGGGCTTGATCCCAAGACCCTGAGATCATGACCTGAGCCAAGACCAAGAGTCAGGAGCTTAACCAACTGAGCCACCCAGGCGACCCAGTATGCGCATTTTAAATTTTGATATACATTGCCCAGTTGCCATGTAAAGGAATTGCACTGATTTATCCTTCTATCCTTCTATCACTGACAGTGAATGTTTCCCTCTTCAGAGAGGGTGAGGGAGAGAGGAGGTAAGAGTGAGGAAGAGTGTGTGTGTGTGTGTGTGTGTGTGTGTGTGTATGTACACATGTATCTGTTGATTAAGTTAGAAGAAGGCATCTTGATTTGAGCCATTAATTGTGTTTCTGAAAAAAAAACTGACTGGAATTGGTAGAGAATCCAGGTTTATCTACCTTTTATTTAAATTCCATGAACTGCTTAAGAATTTTGGGAGGTATAAGCAAAGGAACCAGTAAAGGAAGACAACACCTATGAAGTAGAGATAATACTTAAGGCATTAGCCAAAAGAAGTTTTTATTACATGATACAAGGTATTTGAAAGGAACTTTGTATATTATAGAGTGTATAGAGTGTTGGTCATTGTTATATCTCGTGAAGGTATTCAAATGTATTGCTGGTGTCTTAATAAGCTGCATAGCATATATATGGCTATTTACTGTTACTATTTAAATGCATGCAGTCTGTACAGTCTGTGGTTCATTTAAAAATAATTTTTTTTTTTTTTAAAGATTTTATTTATTTATTTGACAGAGACAGCGAGAACAGGAACACAAGCAGGGGGAGTGGGAGAGGGAGAAGCAGGCTTCCCGCTGAGCGGGGAGCCCGATGCGGGACTCGATCCCAGGACTCTGGGATCATGACCTGAGCCGAAGGCAGCCGCTCAACAACTGAGCCACCCAGGCGCCCAAAAATAATTTTTTTAAGATTTATTTATTTATTTATTTGAGAGCGAGCACACAAGCAGGGGGAGGGGCAGTGGGAGAGGGAGAGAATCTCAAGCAGACTCCCCGATGAGTGCAGAGCCCGACATGGGTCTCCATCTCATAACCCTGAGATCATGACCCAGCCAAAATCAAGAGTGGTACACTTAACTGACTGAGCTACGCAGTTGCCCCTAATAATAAACTTTTAAAAGATAGAGGGTAATTAGAACATTGGAAATAGACATAGCGTGTATGCAAATTATTTAACCCTTGGGGTCTCTAATTTTTTTTAAAGATTTTATTTATTTGAGAGAGAGAGAGAGCGCGAGCACACGAGTTGGGGGAGGGGCAGAGGGAGAGAGAGAAGCAGACTCCCCACTGAGCAGGGAGCCCAACGTGGGGCTTGATCCCAGAACCCTGAGATCATGACCTGAGCAGAAGGCAGATGTTTAACCGATTGAGCCACCCAGGTGCCTCGAGATCTCTAAATATTCATTGAGCTTCAGGATATCTACAAACCAATGAAACAGCAAACTAAGTTTTGCATGTCTGAGCACTTTTGAGGAAGAGGAACAGTGTCCATAAATTTATCAGTCTCTCAAGTGGATCTGGTGACCTCAGAAAAACTAAGAAACACTGCAACAAAGCCATGCCTGCATTAGTTTTAAAAACTTCTACTGAATTATAGTAGGGTTTTTTTCTAATTATGAAAAGTTTTACACAGGTGTTTATGAATTCTTGAAAGTATTTAAAATCCACAATAAAAGAAAAAAGTGCTTAGTAGAAATTTCAGGTGCACAAGTGCTTTTCATTTGCTGAAGGTTTTACCATTTTGCCCTGTGATGTCAAGATACCCAAACAAGGGCGCCTGGGTGGCTCAGCTGGTTGGGTGTCTGCCTTCAGCTCAGGTCATGATCCTGGAGTCCCGGGATCGAGTCCCACATCGGGCTCCCTGCTCGGCAGGGAGTCTGCTTCTCCCTCTGACCCTCCCCCCTCTCATGTGCTCACTCTCTCTCATTCTCTCTCTCTCAAATAAACAAATAAAACCTTTAAAAAAAAAAAAAAAGATACCCAAACAAGTAAACTGCCCTGTGTTTAGGTACAACTTAGAGCACATGGTTGGGAAAGTGATTTGACACCTCCCTATTACTAGGCTGAGTGTTTAGGAGCCAGTGCTGGGATGGGATGGGTGTGGAATTGTTGCCATTACTACGTTAAAGTAAATTTGATTTTTTAGTGGATCTAATTGGCACTTCTAGCTTACCTCATGCCTCAAAAGCTTCAGTGCAATTCTAAGTATAAAGAAAATCAAAGGCACGTTTTTTTTTATCCCATTCCTGTTTGCAATGTAAATATAAAGCAAAGGTCAGGGGAATAGCCATATATTCTAGTATTCTTTTTTTGGTGGGGGGGGGCAAAAGGGCATATTTATTTGATGACTAGTGGCCAATAAATTCGTGGAAACATACTAATTTGATATTGTTAGTATGGCAGTTAAAATTAAAAATCACTATTCTAGTATTCTGATTTTAATGGGGAAGGGGTGTACTGAAAAAGAGGATGGTAATTGCATTTCATGACTTCTGTGAGTTAAGGATATCATTAACTAGTATTCGGTACATGCTTACTATTATTTTTAAAAATAATACTAAGTGCCAGCACAGTATTGTAAATAATAATGAGTGCTTAGTAAGATCTTGATGCATAAAAATGTTCTCTTTATTCAATGGAACTTGCTTTGTAAACTGTGTATGTACAGTTGTATGAAAAAATTTACCTCATTACCAGCTCTATAAATAGGCACTTTCATTTATTTGCCTTAAAATTTTACTTTTCAAGATAACATGCCTCTTTAAAAACTATACAAGTTTAGGGGCGCCTGGGTGGGCTCAGTTGATTAAGCGACTGCCTTCAGCTCAGGTCATGATCCTGGAGTCCCGGGATCGAGTCCCACATTGGGCTCCCTGCTCGGCGGGGGGTCTGCTTCTCCCTCTGATCCTCTTCCCTCTCGTGCTCTCTGTCTCTCATTCTCTCTCTCTCAAATAAATAAATAAAATCTTTAAAAAAAAAAAAAACTATACAAGTTTATACAGGTCACACTAAGCTTTTTGATCCTCTGGCTTTTCTGTTTACTTGGTAATTGTTCACTTCCTG